CAAATTAAATATTCATATTTTGTTTGCCTAATGATCACACAGAACTTATATCGAACAATCTTTAAAGCGGAGAATCTTTCGTGCAGAACCAAAAGCAACAATGGCAACTGTTACGATGAATATATGAAGTTCATATATTTTGAACTGCGGTTATAGATACGTATGATGCACGATCTTCGCAGAATTGTGCGGACAATTCAATTAAGTATCAAATGATCAGCCAAAAAATGTCAAAACTGTTCAAGAGAAAACCCCCAATCTTCTCAATGCATCTTTTAGCAAAAAAAAGGTGGTGGGAAAAATAACGACTTGAATTGCAACAGTTTAACTACAGGCGAATTCTGAATTTGAACGATCTCCATAAAACACACATTTACCCTCTACTTGTGGCTCCTCAAACTTGAATCTCCTCCGGCCAAGTGTGGGGGAGTTTCTAGGGGAAGGGCGTGGCGATGATCGAGGAGACGAACGAGGTGACCGTGTTCTGTCGCTAGGTGGTGAAGACACCTCCAGGTGGTTGCTGTCATTTGTGTTGTTTTTGCTGTCAGATCGCGGTCTGCCTCTGTCATTCCTACTAGATATGGACGCTTCTGTTTCTGGTTCAGCTATTCCCAGGGCAGCTCGTCTGGCGGCGCGGCGCTCCCTGTACGACGAGAACACCAGTCAAGTAAAGCAAACTCTCAATAAATTAACAAGGTCTTTCACAGTAAAAGAAAGAGAAAGAGGATAACAGGCTGTGTAATGGGCCACTTTCGATATATTAAAATTCAAACTTGGCTCCGAGGCTTGCGGGAATAAAACAAAAGAAATAAATCATTCAACCCTCAAACTCGATGTGATTTCTAGAATTTGAATGTATCGAAAATGACCCATTCTCCACATTCTTCAGAACACTAAACGGTATTGCATGGCAGTTAAGTATTTCCTTTACAGGCCTGTTTGACAGACAATTTTCTTTCGGGTAAAACTACTTTTGCGGAAACAATTATCTTCAGAGTTGATGGACGTAAATGCCACGACCGTTAATCAATTTTACTTTTGTTCCAATGTCACCCTCTGTAATGAGGCTTCAGGGTACCTAACATAATAAAGGATTAATTGCATCCTTGCTGGGGGTTAATTTCATCTATGCAACTCAGATATCTAAGCTATGGTGCATGTCATAAAGGGTTTTCTTTTAGTTCTTATTAGAAAACACAGCAATATGTTTCGATCACCTTCGTCCCTGACAGTACCTCAGTACAGGATGCATTTTTGGAATTATGTTTTTTAAGTCATGTGCTACTCGCATTAATATATATACATATATTTATTAAAAACTGGATCATTGGATAATGCAATTCAAGACTTTTATTGGCCTAGCCATTATGGTATATGAGCCAATATACCATAATCTACAAATATGGTAAGCGTACGCGTCAGCTTAAAATCAAAAGGGAGCTAAAAAATCCGGTTTCTTCTTACAAAATAATTATTTCTTGGGGGCGTTTTTAATAAAACAATTATTCCACTCGCACTTGTTTGATATGAGATGATTATAGCCAACTCGGCGCTACGCGCCTCGTTGGCTATCTATCATCTCATATCCAACGCGCGCTCATGGAATAATTGTTAAATATATATATATTTTAGCTGATTGCCAACGATTTATGATTAACGTACTTTCTTGCTAAACGATTTTTAGTTTTCTCATCCAATTCTGACTCTGTTGACGATGATGGTGTTGTACTTGCTGATGTCTTAACAGGCGACGAAGGGGGCTCCACTTTCACAGCGGTACCCACATTAGGTGCACTGGCAACCTTATGCATCGAGCCCTCCCTGATTTTGGTTCCTGGAGGAGCCAGGAGGTTGTCCTTTTTGATGGATGATACGTCAATTTGGCTGACTGAGTTATGTCGTCGACTCCGTCTTCTGTCACCTAAAAATTTTACCAATTTGAGATAATCAATACTCATTACTTCATCAACCCAATAACAATTTACTCCACTTTAAAAATGGACGATATTAAGCCTTACCTGTAGCATACGATGTTGCCCTTCTTCTTTGTCTATAGAGAGAAAATTCCCATGCATCAAATTTACAAATTAAATCTACACTCGCTACATGCAATGAAGCAGACAGTTGCACCGCTAAAAGCAACAACAAAACACACGCCCTACCTTATTGATGGAGAGGTTCCAAACGCAGGGAATTCTTCATCACCATCTTCAATTCGGAGTGCCGTCTAAAATTGATTGAAAAACATTCAGAGGTCGCTTTACTTACAAAAGACAAATGGCCGCTATGTCAGAATAAAATTTCCAAGTACAGCAGCAGAAAATGCGCGCTCAGTGCACTATTGTACATCTTCAAAGTATGGAAAACATTTTGCGTCTTGTTTCTTATGTAAATGTCAGGAAGTAATGTTTGAAACATATTTTGTGGGAGTAAAATCAATATTGAAAGTTATTTACCTCATAAATGTTAAACTGTTCCATCAAGTCAATATTTGTTCCAGTGCGTTTTTGATGCATCTAACAGCGGATAGTAAAAGGGAATTCACATAAACATGAAAGTAATTTTCTATGGTAAAAGAACCACTATAAATAAAATATCTCAAGAACATGATTAGTATCCTGGTAGCAAACTATATGAAGAACTTGAGAATTCAGAACTCAAGACCTTTGCAATACCGGTGCAGTGCTCTACTAACTTAGCTAACTAGCCAACTGGGAGCTAGTTATTTTGTTGGTTCGCAATAAACCCGTGAATTGATAAGTAACTGAATATATGAAAATTATGTAGATTAACTGATATGTGCTAAAAATCCATAAGCTGGCCCTTTCCCTCAAATATACGCCTCACTCCTCCAATTTTATGGAAAAGTACTAAGAGAACAAAATATTGGTTATTGCTCTCAGGGCTTGACACTAACTTTTTAACTTACTAGCCAAGTGGCTAGTGACATCTTAGATGTCTTTAGATGTTACAACAACATCAGTCTTTTTACTAGCCAAACTGGCTAGTGGAAATGGAAAACCACAAGCCAAAACTGAAATTCTACTAGTCTGTGGCTTGTGGGCTACCGTTAGTGTCGAGCCCTGGCTCTTACAATGAAAGAAATGCCTTTTTTCTACCTTCCACCTTTCAGTTTCCAGATTAGGGTCTCATTTCTCCTCCTGCTAAATCTGTTCTTTCAACTGTTATTTTATTTCCACTCTCTTGCTTTAAGTTGTGAACTCTCAAGGGATCACAGTGCCATTTTCAAATTTATGTTTATGTTTACACATGATGATGTCACAATTTAGAAAAAATAAGCACGCACCCTCCCTCCCCTCCCCCTCCTTCAAAATCTGGCACCCATTACGTTGATGATGGTCATGTACGGATTTTACCTTTATAATCTGTTCCATTCCTTGTTCTTCCAATGCATCAGTTATATCATAAAACCCATCTTGAGTTGGAGTTGCATACAAAACCTTGAACACATCACCATATCAAAAAACATAAGACAACTGCACTCTTACTTGTTTATGTAATAGTTCACTCAGTCGCTGTTAGTCCGTAACAGGTCACAAAGGATGTCAAAATGCAGTAAGAACCAAACAGTGGCACACTAGTCATAATTTTATACAATAAAAAAAGCAAAATGTGATGTCCTCCATTTGTCTGTCCATCAATAGATCATAAAGTCTGTACAAGAGCTTTGTGTCCCATTGCACTTATCTCAGGTTTTCGAAGCATGAAACAACTAGGAGTAATTCTATTCCCTCCTGGATGGAATACCAGTCCATCGCAGGGTTACCCCCCAGCATGAAATTCACCAGTACCCATTTAAACACTTGGGTAAGGAGAGACCCACTGTGAGGGTAAAGTGTCTTGCTAACACAATGTTCCCAGCCATGGGTCCAACCTAGGACACCAACCCGGAGTCAAGTGCACTAGCCATAAGGCCACTGCACCTCCACTAGATCATAACTAGGATCAAATCAAAATGCGTGTAGAACTCAACTTATTGTACGATATCTAATGGCACCTTTTGCCAATTTAACCACAACAGAGGAGGATAATGAGGAAAGGAGAGACCTGCAAAGTACTTCCATCCACTGGATAAATCTCCATAGAAGACTTAGTAAAACTTGTAAAATATCTCCAGTATAATGTATTTAACAAATAGACTCTGTGTTACCTTGCATCCATTTTGTAACAGATCACAGATGACGTCAAAATGACATCTTTTGTGATCTATTATTTAACAGATGACAGTACACATGGAATCTATTTGCATTATGTAATAAAGAAACAAAATGTTGTTCATCAAAATGCCGTATATTTCAACTTATCATTTAATACCAACATAAAAAAACAACTAGAAATAGAATAAAATCCTAATATTACCTTATTAATTAATGTCATAGCATAGATTAGAACCTCTTCATCTCCTTGAGTTTCTTTATCTGTCATAATTCCTATGATTTCAGCCCATTCTCTGACACCTTTGAAAAGTAAAAACATCAAATGAACACTCTGAAACCAACTGCTAATCAGATGATTTGAGTAGCATTTAAAAAGAGAACAGGAACATCAGCTGATGACAGTACACACATCAAAAAACACCAACAAAACTGAGTCAAGAATGTCGCTTGATTGTGTTTGTGACTCAGATAAATCATAGGTGGAAAATCTAAATTTCATTTTACTATTTCCAAGGCAACTATGTATTGTTGCACTATATAAAAATGCTGCACATCTCCAGCAGCATTAGTTGAACAAATACAGTATGGCTCAAATGTAAGACAATAGTCCCATAAAAAATTGATCTTAAACCCTCAATGCCTTAAGTCAAGTTTTAAGATGTTGAAGGTCTTTTGAGAAATGGCTTTCGTTGCGATCAATTTTTCATGTAAAGATTCAACTTTCAGATGAGGTATAACTTTTTTAGAACCAGTTCTGCAATAATAATAATAATAATAATAATAATGATAATAATAATAATAACACCTTTATTTAGACACGATAATGTTTAAAGCTGAACAGCTTGAGGGGTCGTGTGTAAATCCAAATAAACTCTAATTTAAATAAATTCAAATGATCTCAAAAAAATTGAAATTCTTCCCTCGATTCTCGCCACTTGTGAGAGTTCATGATTGAGTTTTGCGTTGAGACTGACAAATCTGATATTCGTGGTGCTGCAGTATGATCATGCAAGATACTAACAATGTTATGACTTCTCTTGCAGTGTATCAGTTATGGGAAGACGCAGTTACAATGCCTAGCAATGAATACAAAATTCTTCATTTGTTCACTTGAGCAAATTAAAAGATTACTGGATGGAAGGGTTACATCAGTTACTTCTTGCAATTGGACAGTGTAATGGGACTTGACACATCATGCCTGAGTGTGTAGATGCACTGTATGTGTCACTCTTTGGCACTGCTGACCTGCATGTGGTGGAGTTACCTTGCCTTTTTTGAGAAAAAGTATAACCCATGTCTAGGTTCTTTCTCAAACTTTGTCATGGTTTTGATTAATTGGTAACTGGACTTTGTGGAGTCCAATTCCATCATACTCGTGATTAACAAATTGGACTATTGTGAAGAGTCAGATTTTGTCAATCATTTCTATGATTACAGACTGAATTGGACTCCTCTTCGTCCTTTTACCATTATCATTGGCTATGATTACTTGGTTCATGAGTACTTTGAATTTCCTTCAATCAATAAAGATGATTTTTCAGAGTGCACATAAATGTTAAGCCTAAATTCCTACAATCAAGAGAAGATCTGACATTTCCATATTGTAAACCCTTGTTTTTAAACTGTGAGGAAAAACTGAAACATCCAAGAATTTCTTCAGTTAAACTCCATTATTCCCAGAATTGGGAACAATGAAGTTAACTGATTTCTTTGGAGTAATGAGGGTGAAAATCTCACTTTCAGGCTTAGGTGTCATTGTCTCACAGAAGGAACTTGAAGAAATATCACATCCTTTACTCCCAGGATAAAGGTTTGATATACAAGAAAAGAATTTCTTTTTTAATACAAGCTGACAAGTGATAAAACACCAAATTCTCACATATAAAAATAAAAGAAATGTATGGTATATAGATGGAGAAATCATCACTGAGTTCAAAGAGTGAAATTTAACACTGAAATAATAAGCTACATATTAAATTTCGACTTATTCTATAAAGAGCAGTCAGTGGTCTTGTTAATACAATATGTGTATATACATTTTGATAACATTTGAGGGGTGCACTGATTGTTTACAAACAGCAGTAACATGACAGAAACATTGTGCTCTAACAAAGCCTTTAATGCCATAGGTGACCACAGTTTGTCTACAGACAACTTTGATATAAATACCTGAGAGCTTGCAAGAACTCTGTACATACAGTCCTGACATATTTAGAACCTTTGGGAACCTTAAGGTTTTTTTTTTTCCAGGGCACTATTATGTGGTGATCAAAAGTGTTAATGGTAAAGGTAAGGTAAAGTCTGTTTACGAGCCTAGTGGCCCATTAGGCCGGTGCTTAACTCAGGTTTCTGTAGCATGAAGTGACTAGGAGTATTTCTACTCCCCCCTGGATGGAATGCCAGTCCATCGCAGGGTTACCCCCAGCAATAAATTGCCGGTACCCATTTATACACCTGGGTGAAGAGAGGCACTGTGAGAGTAAAGTGTCTTGCCTAAGAACACAACACAATGTCCCGGGCCGGGGCACGAACCCAGACCACTCGATCCAGAGTCAAGCGCACTGACCATGAGGCCACCACACCTCCACAAAACTTAATGAATGCAATATAAACATCAATTGCATTTAAATGTTTAAAAAATCAGTACCTTGATTACTATCTACAGCTTGAATACCCTCATACAACACTCTTGAGTTAGATTCTGTATACTCCACGAACACAAGAAGAAGTTTAAGTGCAGTTTTTCCCACAAGACGGAACTACAACAAAAAAGACACAATTATGCTAAAGATACAATTTCAATCTTTTGAATAACTTTGTATCATAGAAAACTTTTCAAAACTCCTATTGGTCAATGGCATGTTCCATGAATAAGAGCATTTCAACCTTGGGGTTAGCCCTTAACATTATCATGTAAAAAAAAGTCTCCCTTGCACTGAAACTTATTTCTTCTGTAAACCAAGACTATAATTACAAACTTTTTCCAAATATTTTAACATCCAAACATACAGCTCACCCTAGATGCTGTGAGAGAGTAAAGCCACTGTATAGTGTCACTGTGGTTGATAACACCATTCATTCCATCGACATACAGCATTATCTGACCAATTGCTATCAACAAAAAAGTAATCAAAATTAATAATCATTTTTTTTTAATACACACACATACATATACAATTTACATTACACTGACTAATACAAAAAACGTGATACAGCTAACAAGAAAAAAAAACAATACAGCATAGTACAGGATAGAGGAATAAAAGAAAAGAAAAAACAAGTAAAAAAGAATAAAAAATTACAAAATGTCAATAAAAATTAATAACACAAATTAACACCATCTTAAACTTCCAAGGGGTCCCAAGGAGCTGCTTGTAGAAGACAAACCACATTGAACAACAGCATAGAGGAAACAAAGCAATATCACACACTGCCCCACTAAAACCACCTGTTACGAGTAACACATTTGTGCTAAAAATCAATCACCACAGTTATCCGTATGGCGGACTCCAGACAGTTTATAACTACCATCAAAATCTGTGTAATGTTTACTGTTAATACTTTAAAAATGTGAATCACAGAATGTAAAATCAAGTACATGTGCATGGCATTACAAACCATCATCATATCCAGAACAAATCAAAAACTTGATACTATTCTGTATTTCACTTCTTGCGCTGCGCTAAGATAATAACAACAGTGGGATAATCCGCTGCATTCAAATCCTCAAGCTACTATTCCCTCATAAAAAATGTCAGACAGATGTTATACTAATGTTAATTTAAAACAACATCCTTGACTGGGGGAGAGGTGGACCAAGAATTTTCAGTTGACAGGGGGCATGTTTTTCAAAAAGGCTCTCTTAGGTCTGTAACAGTCTCATCAGCACATTCTCAAAGGACTGCTGTGAGAATTATTTGTATTGATTTTCTCAAAAATTGTTCAAACCTCTAAGGATGTAGTTCTGATAGTTTTGATCAGCATCCTGTCCAACTGATATCAGTGCACTCAATCCATCGGAGTTTACGAACTCATGCACAAGATCCTTATCATCCTGTCAAGTAAACACAATGTTGATGTACAACTCTTAGAAGTTAATTTTCAAAAAGTGAGCGTAACTTATTTCTAATGCTGTTAATAGGCCACGTAACAATACAGCTCAAAACCCTAGTTGTAGCTAGGCAAAAATTAGTTTTTTAAAAAATAAAATAGCATCCTTAAGTTCCATGTTTCTTACTACCTGAAAAATTTGCTTCAATGAAAACAAGGCTCTCCTAAGCTCTCTTCCCGATGCTGCAAGTAGTTTAGCTGTAAACAAAAGAAACCCAATAATAATAAAAAAACCCAAAAGGAAGATTTCAAACTCACAAAAGCAAAAATACATATTCATAATCAGCAAAAATATTTCTTAAAGAACAAAATTTGTAAAATTAGCTGAACTTAAGGGAAGTCAAGATGTATATTTTTCAAAAGATGTTAATTCTCGTGATTGATTAAAAAAAATTCTTAATTAACCTTTGCTCCATGATTAAGTTATTCATGACCAAAGGGCCATAAAACCATTAATCCAGTAGCCACATTTTTGTAAAAAAAATAGAGATTAAAAGACTTAAGAGGCATTACACCATGGTATTTGATTATTCTTTTCAAACTAATCTATCACCCTGTGTTTCTGTACATGACATCATACTGTGCAAAGCATGGAATCCTTACTTAAAACCCCAAAGCAACCTCATGCAAAGAAACCCCAGTTCCTATGCAAATGATAGTTTAGACTATGTGTAGAACTGGAACAACTGTTTAAGTTCTAAAATACAGTGTGGAAAACAAAGAAATTTTGTAGAATTTAGACATTCCATGATTGTTATTAGACATTTGAAGATCAGCTGGCAACTCTTTGTTACACAGTGTTCTTTAGAACGATTTTCACTACACTCTCACCAAATTACACACGTCAATTGACATGTACAAAACAATGAAAACAAAACAAAACAAAAACAAAAAACAAGTGGCAAGTCTTACAGAATCAGCAGATCACTTAGGTGATGTTGACAAAACTAAATCATAAGGTAATTGATTTCTAATATTTCTACAAGTCTAAAATCTAAATACTTTTATTATTCATTGTCTTTTACATTTTGTTTTCTTAATGCAGCATTACATGTAGTAAACTAAACTTTATCTTTTCAACACTTGACATAGATTACTTTCAACTTTATAAACAACTTTCAAATTCATTTTTTTCCAAACTTAACATACTAAACCATAATTACAATTATAATAGAATCCGGTGGGGGAAAATATTCTTCATTAAGTTCAACTAAATAAATAGGTGAGGCATAATATGAATTCTCATCAAATTGGTGCAGAGGACGCGTTCTGTCTTCTTTTTATTGATCACATGTGAACTATACATATGTATGATAGTTGGCAGAGCCCTGAAAACTGCCTTAATTAATGCCTGGTTCAAATAACATTCGAAGATAAAACCCTTCTAAACCTGTGCCTCTGATTTTTTCCTTGCCTGTTGGTCTTCAAGAAATTTAATTTTAGTAATATATTACTTAAGGGATTAATAAGAAATATTTTAGAAACAGACAAAATAACTACAAACTACTTCTTAAAACTAAGAGTTTGTGACGAATGGATTTTGGACAACTAGCCTCTAAAAGAATGAGGCAAGAAAATGACCACTGAAAAGTTTTTTAAATGTTGGGAAATAAATAATTCAGAAAATGAATATTTTATCATTGACTTTCAGATTATAAGCCTCAGGAGTTTATTTTTTAAAATACCAATACTGGTTACTTCTATTTTGAACAGCCTTGATAATATATATTCTTCCATAATGATCAGCCATGGAAAACAGAGGGAGAAAGAAAAAAATTGTATTGGTTTGCAAAACAGCAATTTTTTTTAAGTTTCCTCAAGAAAATGAACTATAAAACATTTAAACTCATAAAAATCAAATTTTTAACAATAACAGGGGCATATTTGGTGAAAACCCACTTGCTATTTTCAACAGTCATCCAAGAGAGCCAGGGGTTGACCAACCTGCTTTTCTTATAGCGTTTTTTGTTAGAGACTGAAATTTTTCTGTCTTGAGGATTAACAATTAATTGCATCAATAATTATTGGACTAGTAAATGCTCAAAGTTGTCGACTTTGTATAATGACCTTGATTAACAAAACCAACTACGATATTGGGGAGTTGAACCGACAAAATCAAGTCAATCTAACTGTCTTGTGGTTGAAATAAATAACCTATTTTTGAGAAGAATATTATCAATAAAAGATGGAAATATTACCAACAAGAAGTGTGACAAGAAGAAAATTTCTTGTTACGGAATAAACACTAAGTATGTGAAGGCATTTGCAAAGAAAACGTTTCCTGTTTGTTGAAAGTTCCCTTATGGTCGTTCATTGAATTTTAAAAATTGGCGACAAACGAAAATCAGTCAATTTTACACACTCATCAATGATAAACAAACACATGGTGTCCCTCAAAACAACGACAACCGAAGTTATTCATGATCAGCCTTGTTTCGGGTGACTAACCATCAAAGGAAGTTTGAACTAAAGCCCTAAAATGGCTTGATTTCAATAATTACCACAAAAGGAAGCAAAACGAAAAGAATAAAATTGAAGCACCGCACTAAAATTAGCGCTAAGTAAAAATTTTCAACGGTTTTCCAAGAACTCGCTTTCATAAAATAGAATTAATTCAGAGGTATTACTGAAGGAAATCAGCACGAACCTAAAATGAACAGCACGAAATGTGCATAGCAACTCGCACAATTTTGGCTGCTGTTTCGTTTCGAAATGATCAAGTGTTCTACTGAAGCTCATTAGGGCAGGCCTGAAGTCACGAACAGTCAAATCTCACGCACAGAGTAATACAAACTGTGCAAAGTAAATAGCCCGCGAGTAAACTGATCGTTCAACCAAACCAAGATTACAAACCTATTTTTATGCAAATTATTCAACAAAACAGTAACGCGCTAAGCGAAAATTGATTCGTGCAACGATCGAAGAATGTTGTTCGACAAACAGAGATATAATTTTTGGGTTTCTATCTTTGTTTAATTTCAAACCCAAGAGAAAACAACGGAAATCACAAAATTTTAGCTTCTCGACTGTTGACTTATTGACCCAAATGAGCTAGCAAATAGTAACATAACCTAACTACTTGAGATGCCAGCATGCTGTACAAACGGCAAGCAAGCAACCGTTAGTAACATTACGTCTTGTAGAGGAAGCGTATTGTTATCATATTTAAGCCAAAACAACTCACTCCAAATGCACCGCCAAAGTGTCCCGTATAAGCCAAACATAGCTCAACACACAACAAATATCTGGCTTTCAGAACAGTTGGCAAAGAATTTGTCTGTGTGCGAGAAAAATCCGTGCGGATCAGACAGCTTTAAGCTGAACACTGTTCAAATTATAATTTACTCTCTCACCTTCCCTCTGGTCATGAATAACTGATAAATCACATTTTCACTAAAGCATGGGCTCTTACAGTTTAATCTTTAAAATACTACAAGGTTTAAGGGTACGGTGGACTTTTCACTCACCTATACAGTTGTGCACGCGAACCGACATAGCCGTCCGTAGAATTATTGTGTTTTTACGACTGTTAGAGATAAAAAAGGCTACATATTACTTAAAGTATAACTAAAAAAGGAACTTTCATTGGCATAAATAAAAAATAAAGTCAAGTTTTAATTACGGCTTCGTAAACATTAAAGCTGACAATCATCTCAAACCTGTCTAGAAAGCCTTCCAATAAATCGGCTTGCTCCTCCAGGGAGCTTTCCAAATCCAAATAACATCCATTGTGGGACAGCTGCAGCGCCACATCGTCGATCTATAGCGACAAATCACCACAGTCAATTAAAAGAAAGGTACACAGACACCGGTAGCTTCAAAACAAAATTCAGATGAAAAGTGCATAGAGATATAAACAACTTGTAGCATACGCTATGCGGAGCAGACAACAGCCGATGGAGTCCGCCGATTTGCTGAAAAAGTGGTATATTCAGATGGAATGTGTATGTTGGAGGCCTTGTGGGTTCAGGAAAATTTGTACTGGCGAAAGGATCGGTGTCATCTAAATACTGAACTTTACAAGTTAACGCCATTTTGACGGAAGATTCTGTAGAGTTGTTGAACGCATGCGCTCTAGATAACTCTCTTTCATCCCGAACTCGTTGCGGGGGAGTCCTGTCACGTGACCATAAATCTCGACGATTTGGAAGAGAGCGAGAATTATACTTGAAATCCCCCATATTGTGCATTTGGAGAGTACGTTCATAATCCACACTGACTAACAGGGACTTCTTTCGCGTAAAAACGCTAGTATCACGTTCAAACACGTGATTTGCCCATCAGATTTGTCCATTGTCGATAACTAAGGCTTCTCGCACAATGCACAAATGCGAATGATAACACGACTGTAACTCGAGCCGATACGTTGTATCGCCGGGGCTTTACTGTCACGAATTGAGGTCAAATCATTACGCTAGCCAATTAGTTTTTCCGCAGGCAATTGTAAGTGGCTTGCAAAAATAATCAAAACACTTGTGACGTCAAAGGTATCATAACCCGGCGTCCTGTACATTTCCGTTGTGTCTCAGATACCACAAGTTAGAAAACCTCTTATTAGTCATTCTTGGTGACATATCATGCCTGCAAATCACATTAAACTCTTAAAAAGATATTCCAGCAGTTTCACTCAATCGTGAAAGTGAAAATCGGCCAGAGCTTTCGTTCCAGAAGTCTGGCTGATTAATCTAATCAAAGAACAACATTAACGACCTACACAATGGGGATTAAGCATCCAAATAATTCCAGGAATGTTGGAATGTTTGGTTGAGTTGTGAACTAAATTCATTGAGATCCAAATTCGGTGCATAAAATAATATCGTCTTAAGTAGAGATAAATCGATCGAACAAACTTATTTCCAAGTGTTTCGTGTTACAATTCCAAAACCGAAAACCGATGACCTTCATAAATTTGGTAGATAAGGAAATCTAACTCATACCTTTATAGAAGTTCTCCTCACGTTGTCCGTTCGGGGGGAGGGGGGGGGATTTACTACAAACTGCACCTTTTATTGTTAAATCCGAACTACACGTCACAATCCAAATTGCCTTATTTCACCGTTTATGCAAAAATTCTTGGAATAAATTGTGATTAAGTTTAAGCCTAAGAGTAAGTTGACCGAAATCAATAATTAGCACTCTTCGAATTCGTGAACAAAGAATCCAATGAATCTTCAAAATGCTTCAACTATTTGCAACCATAAAATTTCCAGCTGCAAATAGAAATTGATACTCAGAGCCTTAGAATCTACTCTAGAAGATCAGAGAATGAAATTCTTTACGGAACTGGAATAAATTACTGCTGATGCGCCGCGCCAGCCACCAGATTGACCTTGAAAATACTTCTTTTTATAGACCAGGTGGCTAATTATAGTACAGCCATCAGCTGATTGAACTCTCCTTTCTAAAGTTTAATGATCAATGGCTAGAAACGGTTAGAGCTCCTTGGGTTTGGTGACAAAAAAGACATCCCGCCCTGATAAACAAAACAGAATATAACGTTTGTCAAACGGACCGCTTGGAAATATTTTCGGCGGTATCTGTATTCAAGACGACAACTATTTGCGACCATTTATTGTGAGTTCTTAACATTTCAGGAAATATTTTTTGTGGAAACACTTAACCTCCGGGAGACTTAACTCGGAAAGTATGCTAGAAATCACAAATTGGGTCAAGTTATTTACTCCGGTATTATTAACGGGTAGAAAATGAGGAAAATATGGTTTAAAATGTGCGGGAGAATGATTATAATTCAAAATAACGTTTAACCAGAATGTTCCATCGCCATCTTAACTTTATTTCCAATCTTACAAATTCCTTTCGCTACTGACTATCAAGAATTTATAACACAGAAATACCTTTCATATTTTTATTGCTTCGGCAGAGTTTCAATTCTTCGTAGAACTATTAAAGACGAACGAAATAGACAGAAGAGCGTTGAGTTTTTTTTTTTTTTTTTCAAATAGAGTCGTTTTGTTGCAAGTGTTCAAAACCACTTAAGTGTTATCTTTATTATATTATTACCGTATCATTACTAATTGTTAGTATCATTATCAGTGTTATGATTATTCTCGTTCATTTTCTCCAGTTTGTCTTTGTGTCTCTGTTTTTCAAGGAAGAAAAAGCAGTTTAAACACTCTACAAAGGTCACCTTTGGAACAGAGTAAAATGCCCTTTGTAGGGAGGTATGGCTCTATTATGGCACCAACCTTGGGTATCCAGTGGCAGGGCCTCGGTCAAAGAGGAAGGACTGAGCAGGCAAGGTTTTCGCCAGCTCACATACTAATAGCCTGAAACGGGCTAATTCTCTCTTGCACAAAGGCTTTATTGTAACGTAGACAATAAGTAGGCCAATCAAATCTATTGATAAAATAAGAAATAAAAAAAATTGAAGTTTTTGAGTGTTAAATCAAATAGGAGTAATGTAAACTTGAGTACACCAACTTGAAAATGTGCAGCCGGTTTTAGTTTTGTAGAAATTGTGTCCTTTAAGAGAAATGGAGATAGGAAGATTGTCCTGTTAAGCGAGTTGTCTCGTTGTTCGCGACATGGTTCGTCATCAGGTGATGCGGGGTGTTGTAGATATGTAGAATGGCACCTGAAACAAGCTTATGTAAACGTTGCGGCTGTGTAGAAGTTTTTAATGTAGGCGGAATCGTAGAATGTTACAGCAAATGCAACCGGGAAAAATATTACCAATGTCCTTAACCACAAGACACCTATTGAAGAGAAATATTTAAAAGGCCTGAATGTTCAGTAGAAGAAATATTTTTTTGCATTCAATCTCAATAAACACGCATAGTATGAAGCGATTTAAAAAGGAGCGACATGGTTACAGCTCGAACTATTTATACGCAAAACAAAGTCGCTCTAGCAAAAACGGGTTTGCTTAGAAAAAAACTTGCGTTTGTTCAGCTTGTCCGTACCCAGACAGCGAAGATCAAATAATAGACGTAACCCTGTATTATCATTGTCGGTGTGTTCCTCCGTTGCAAGCGCACACTACGCACTGAATAGCCGTTGATCGTTCCGTTTCAGTTACTCATAGGACAATGTGTAACACCAGGCAAGATTGCGCAACTTTCACCCATACGCATACAGACCTCCGCACAGCAAACAAATGAATGCCATTTTAAGAGAAAAACACCACCACAGTCCACAAATCAAAAGAGCGAGGGCACTGAAAGACGTTGCGCCCGCCCTTTGGTTTTGGCGCCAAAATAAGCCTGCTGTAGAACAGAAAGAATTCCACGATATCAAGCAGTGCATGAACTGACGGTGACACATGTCTCAAGGCTATTTGCATTAAAAACTGTGGGCGCAGTTATATGAATTTAGTAACACTACAAACACCTCGAATTCAAAGTTCATTTTTTAATGATTCCTTACAAAGTCTGAGGACATTGAGTATGCGTCCTAAAAACGCTCTCTGTAACATTAAAATTGTAAATTCTTGGTGTCTCAGCTCAGTAACTCCCATGATGCTCCTTGTTTGGAGGACTTTCTGGGATCACGGCACCACAGCTGCGTCAGTGAACAACGCTGACTGGAAAATCTGTACAAGATTGAATCATGAATGGAGCTATGTTTATAAGTCTGTTGTCGCTTTTGGTTTGAATCTTCTTGCCGAGCGCTCACTGGATCGGAAGCAGAAATGATTTCCATGAATCGTGAACTCAAATCCCTCCAGTTCAAATGTAAACACGCTGTTTGCTTTGGGGATCACTAAAAATAAACAAAAAAAAAAAAAAAAACATTGATATTTGGTAATGTTAGTAATGTATCCTTGGCCTGCCTCTCGTTCAGGCAGCCGTTCCACTGACAACTGCGACTGCCGTTGTCGCCAGCCAATTTTTTTCTTATTTCCCCTAACTAAGGCTAAAAAAGAAATACGATTTTAAGTATACCGAAAACAGGAAAACGACAATATAGCGTACAACTTCAAGAGCTTACGATGTATTTCATTCAATGAAGCAATGTGGATCCAGTTTACAACGGGCAGCACAAGCTTTTTACAAGGAGGAAGGGGGGGGAAGCGAGGTGGCGCAGGGAGGTCACTGGACTGCATAGTAGGAGTTCTGCGCATGAGCATGACGCGTTAATTCCCATGAGTACAAACGGAGGAGGGACATCCCGGGGTTTTTCAAGTACTTCATTCATTAGGGACCTCCAATATTTCTCTCATGATTCTGCATGAAGTTCTATCATTGCAGTCTTGGCTTACTTTTCGGTTTTTGTAAGATTGTTTTGAGTTTTGATTGTTTAAGGTAAGATCGCGTTCTTACTGCATTCAGCCTTTCAAAGTGACCCAAGGCTTAAAATCTACGTCACCGCTGGAAATGTAGTTACTGCGCGCTGAGTTCCATTTCAGTCAGAAATAGCAAGACCTTATGAAACTTTGTAGCCAAAATACTTCTGTCAACCATTTCGGACTCAACATAATTTTACAAATTTCACAAACGAAGACGTGAACGATCCGATATTTCCCTTGAAAACAGACATGAAATAATATTTGATCACCTCTCTTTACCTTTTTTGAGATTCTGATAAGATGAAAAATAACACTGTTTTCTAAACAAGCATCAGCGAAAAACATGAATGACCTTACAACAATTTCCAGCCGTGGGAAATAATCTAAATTTAGCGTCACTAAAGCCGGAAATATTATACATTTACGCAAACAACTGCAAACTTACGCGTAGGAAATGCTTTAAGAAGTGAGTTCTTGAAAAAAGTACGGCTTTCATCTCTCGCATTTAGTTACTAGAATAAACTCGGCGCTTGGTTCGAGAACATACGGTGCTGCGTGTATTACTTACCTTCAGAACCCTGCCGAAAACGTACGTATTTAGCATGGTCTTGCAGCTACGTAAGATAGTTAAGTCTTATTATTTTCCTATCACTTCCGATAACTGACACAAATATAACAGCGTAACAAAGCATTGTGATCAGTTCCGGTGCGTACACGTTTCGTTTCGTCGTTTAGTACATCATAACTCCAAGGAAAAATAAAACTTTTTTTATACAGCGAGTGAAACAACTTTAACTTAAAAAAAAAATAAACGACTGAATCATTAACGAGTTTCTTGTTTCAGATAAGAGTTTTTTTTAAACCTCGAGACTCCAGTGGAGTTTTATTACTAAAACATACAAGCAGTTTCTCGGAAAAATTGTCGTTAAATTTAATTTTTTTGGTTAGTCAACACAGACTGCAGTTATAGCACCTACAACAGGAGCTTTTCACAAACTAGATTTTTTCGAATGTGAAATGTGTTGTTTTCTAAGGAAGCCATTTGGAGTGCAAATGCAGATCTGATACCAAACAACTATTTTTTCTTCTTTATTTTCAAGAAGCAAAAACACCACTTCACTACTACAGGATCAAGAGAAGCCGGTTAGAGCTGCAAAATTCTTGAACAAGGAATAGTCTTGTCGTGTTTGTAAGTTTCTCTTTTTTTTTTTGTTTTGGTTACAAATGGGTTAATGCATGTCAGGGTTATAAATCGCACTAACTTCCCGGATTAGGTGGGTATATGGTAGGCACAAGACAAGGGGGAAAGAGCTCGATCAGTGGAGCATTTACAGAGGAGGCTTCCGGTTAACAGAGTTTCCGGTTACATTTCCGGTTAACTAAATGGATGTATCATTCGTATGGCGTGCAGGAAAAGCTTCTTAAGTGTCACCTCTCAGCAAAAGATCCCTGATTAAGCTACCAGGATTAGAATATTGTATGAAAAAAATAACCAGAGAACGCCTTAGATACAGAAAGTGTATAACGGCAAAAAGGGTTTTAACGGTACGTGAAACATATTACCGAATGCGTTGTTTATAGGTTTATAGCTGTCTTTACCAGAACTGACGTGAGTGTGTAGTAGGAAAAAGAAGCAATAAAGGAGGAGACCTAAAATTGAATAAAGGCTGATAGTTTCTAAAGAAACTGTTTGGGGCTGCGTCGGTGGGGGTAACGAAATAATTTCAATATATCAACAAAGTTGAAATGGTAAATTGGCCACCGTTAGGATTATAAAAGCTGACGTTTCGAGCGTTAGCCCTTCGTCGGAGCGAATAGAGGAATTGCGGGTTGTGTGCGCTTTTAAAGGCAGAAAATGGAGCTACGTGATTGGTGGGAACATGGCAACGAGAAAAACACGAATAAATTAGTGGAATGAAAAGCGTTCGTTGATACCTGTGGGATTTAGACTGCCGGTTTGAAAGATGAGCTTAAAATTGAAATTTCTCAAAGAATTCATTAACTAAATTTCAATTAAAGTTTAAGTAAACAGCCGTATGTAAACTTCAACAAAGAGCGAGACACTCTAAAGAGTCAAGAACGCAACCTATGATCTACAATAGTACATAAAATGTGCGCACTACCGAGAAACAAACGAGTGCCAGTTGTATCTAACGGTCAGTGTCATCAACGAGACTTACTTTTGAGTTTGTCTTGTTTTGTTATAATCTTGAAGGAATTTTTCGTCTCTTGAAGTAAGATACCACATGTTCCTATATATGATGGACATTTGGATCTGCTCACTGTTAAAACAGAAATATAACAGCTGTTAACTACTATTTATTTCAGTCTTTGATCAATGGCCAAAGACCAATAAAAAATAAGCAAGAATTTCAAACGTTCATAAATATAGTACAAAGTGCACCTAAACCCAAAACATTTTTTTCGCTTGACGAAATAGGCGTATTTTTTGGAGTATTTCTGTGTAAAATTTTTTTCATTTGCTCAAATCTTCAATTTTCTGTGCCCAGTCAAAATACAGAAAATCGGCCGCCATCTTGGCTCACGACCGAGTTTAAAGAGGAATGGTTCTAGCGAGAAATGTGATGTCAAATCGAGAACACGAAAGTCTGCATTTCACACATTTTCACTTGTTTGGGAAGGTTGTCGTCGATATTGTCCGAAATATGCCGACTAGGTGTGTTGTGTGAGGAATGTATGACGCGCGATACCCTCTTGTGAATTTCGCACGTTGCTACATCCTCCTACAACACACTTAGTCGGCATACTTTCGGACAATATCGACTACAACCTTCCCAAAGGAGTGAAAATGTGTGAAATGTAAACTTTCGTGTTCTCGATTTGACGTCACATTACCCGCTAGAACAATTCCTCTTTAAACTCGGTCGTGTGGCAAGAAGGCGGCCGATTTTCCGTATTTTGACTGGGCACAGAAAATTGAAGATTTGAGTAAATAAAACAATTTTTGAACAGAAATACTCCAAAAAGTACGCTTATTTTGTTGAGCGAGAAAAATTTTTGAGTTTAGGTGCACTTAAAGTTATGCACAATGTCTTAAAATCTGATAATGAAGCATTAAGAAAAACATTTCATGATAAAAAGTAGCAAGATTGAAACATGACGTTTCAGCAACAACATGTCACCATGTAACTCAGAGACTTCATTCCAGCAAAACTGTACATTTAATCATGTACATTCTTTTGTTTTACTCCATCTCATTTTATTCTAATCTAGTTTCACACTTTCGTCTATTTGTATAGTCACTGAACTTGTAACAATTTACAATTAATGAAGGCGACACATCATTGCCAAAATATCAAGTTTTTATCTTGCAACTTTTTAGTATGACAATTTATTATATGGCTGTGTCTCACAAGGACTGGGAACTACCGAATTCAAGACTTTGATTGGCTGAAATCAATATTGAAAGCGGTCTAGATTTTCCCATCTAGACCGGCATCTAGACCCGTCTAGAAAAAAAAAGGTACAAAGAATATAAAAAAATGGCATATAAGACACAGCCATATAATAAACATCTTATTAACCAACCAAGGTCGGTCTGTATAGGAGAATCTTGACCTCACTTGCTGGTACAGACCTCACTGCGTTCGGTCTGTACTGGTGACCTCAGTCAAGATTCTCCCATACAGACCTCCCGCTTGGTTAAGAACTGAGTCTAAAACAATGTCAAAGATACATGCACCATGTGGAGAAAATTCAGTAATTTAGTTTGGTTAACAGTAGTGTAAAAGGGCACAAGATGAGTTATGCCAATAAATACATCATTAATATGCACATACTTCAGTTTACCAATACATAGAAACAGGAGACATCCAGTAAATACCTCCTTGTGTTGACTGACATGTCCATTATCAAGCCCTGACAGGCCAGCCATACACAATAACTTACCCTTAAGAATACATCCATGGTAATCAGCCCGCAGAAGTTTGGGATACACAACTTTCAAATTACTATAGAAAAAGACAGTTAACTTTGCTAAAGTCATGAGCAGAGCAATCTAGATAACAAACACTGACAACATTAGTACAACCAATCTTATGGGAGAAACACCAGCAGAAATGAATTCGTTTTTCACATGTTCTAAATGCTTTGATAAAGGTTGAAAAACTTATTGTCAGAACAGCTATTCCCAGAAAATAACACAAGTGTGATGTTGATAACTGAAACACCCAATGATTGAGACCATACCAGCCCACAGCACTTAACCCTTTCCCAGATCTCTCTCATTAGAAATTCTCCTTACTGTCTGCCATTCAATTCTTATGATGTTAGTCTGGAGAATCTGGTATTGGATCAACTAATATTCTCTTAGTTGATGTTTTACTTTATTCTCATCACTTGTCTGCTTGATATTTTATCGATATTGTTAGAAGAAATTCTGTCTTGGCCGCTCACGAGAGAAACAGGGTGAAAGAAAATCTTCTCCATTGTATCTGCTCACATACGGCTGTATTCTCAATTCTTTTGATGGTAGTTATGTAGATCCCATCACCAATAAGGTACATGTAGTATTTTTTCTATTTTCTTATTTGAGTTTATCACTTAAAGAAGAGAAAAAAACATATTTTGTGCATCACCCAAAGAAATTTGTATTGGTATTGAACAATGAACATTAAAGTTTGCTTAAAAGATACCTTTCAGATGTCAAGTTCAACATTTCTTGCATGTAGCCTGTCCATAACTCATGGAGAGGAAGATACATTTCATATCTAACAAGACAATTATTTCAGGATAATATTAATCTTCACAGAAGGATTGAAGTAACAGTGGTTGTGACTTATTAACAGCATGTCCCAGCAGCTAACACACAAAAAGTGATATTAAGAAAATCTCAATCAATTTTTGGGACTTTCTATTTCACTTCCAAACTTGAAATATCACATAACACTGGTAGAAAAACAATACATAAATTTAATTGATGTGCCTTAAACATATTTTTTTAGGGTGAATAACAATTACTTAATATGTGTTAAATCTAATAAAATAATCACATTGAGTTTACTTCTTCCATTTACAATTTTGCAAAAACTTTCTAAGCTTTGTTGTCTTCATATTTATCAAGTGGCTCATTGAATTTACCTTAGTTAATTTCATTTCTCATTTCCCGTAATCCAGTGGATCAGGTTTGTGCTGGAGATTAAGTAAAAACTAGTTGTGCTGTAATAAGTACACTAAGATCTTCATTTTAATTATCAACCCTACTCCCTTGGTACAGTTCACCTTTGATTCTTGGATGAAATCTTGTAAATGCCTCGACTCCTTTTCTCTTTTAAGGACATCTCTTTTCTCTTTGGCTTCTTGTTTGACTTGTGTTTATTAAGCTTGTCTAAAATCACAGGATCACATCGCAGTTTGCTGTCCAGGTCTTCTTTATTTTCTTGTACCACTCTTCCCAGAAATGATTTTACAAAACTTCTAGCAGAACAATTCAGCTGCTGCATTGAAAAGATGGGAAGGAGAATTCAATTCAATCCATGGAATGCTACAGAGGAAGTAATTTATTTTAGCATATCAGACACTTTCTCAATAAAATAAACTTAAAGCGTTTTTGTTTTCTTAATCAAATGAATTGATATAACTAAAAATGACATCCATTCAGCCAATTTTTAAATTTTCAAGACCATTTAATTCTTATTGATCATAATTCAGATTGAAAAAGAAGGTAATACTCCTTCTTTCTCAGTTGAGCAACCTGTCACTGAGATGGGCACTTGAAAGAAGCTTTGGTGGGGGTGTTCTCCAAGGGCTTTAAAACCCTAACCTTGTTTAAGGGCCACATTGTTTCATCTCCTGACTATGTTAAATGCAGTTATGTTAAAGTCAGAGTGTTTTAGAGAGGATGTTTAAAATCAATTATATAAAAAAAGTTGGTTTTATCTAACATATTCACTGAAAATCAAGATATCCTGAATCAATAGGCTAAATTTTAATAAGAAAGGACCCTAAACCACACCCTATCTGGCAGCACATACCTGTCAATGCCCCCCTCCCACTGAAGAAGACCTGCACAAAATGTGACTCTTACCCGAAGATTAAGTTCTTCCAAGTTGTGTTGAACACGTTCTGGGAGGTCAGAATAAAGTGCTTCTAAAACAAAACAAACAACTTTGAACAAAAATAGAAAAAGGAAACATTTTAGACATATCAGGGCTCGACACTAACGGTAGCAAACAAGCCACAGACCCGTAGAAATTCAGTTGTGGTTAGTGGTTTTCGCTTCCTACCAGCCAGTTTGGTTAGTAATCAAACTGGAATTATCGTAATATCTAAGTTGTCACTGGCCACTTGGCTAGTAAGTTGAAAAGTTAGTGTCGAGCCTGATCGCTGATTTGTATTAGAAAATTGTATTCAAATATTGAAAAAATTGTAGACATTATCCTCAAAGGTGTGTTTCAATTGAAAACAATTGTAGAAATATAGAGATATAATTATCTTTAGGATAGATTCTTACGATTAATCATACTAAGCTTCGCAACTTTTGCCGCATCTCGAAAACAAACAAACACAACACTCACAGCCGTTTCCATAGAACCGACCTATGATTTAAAACATGTACCAAGATGTTCTGAGAAACTACTGAAAGAGTAAAAGGTATTACTTGTGGACACATCTGCCACCATCTCATTGTCCGCCATGTTCCTTTCCTTACTGCATAACTTCATGTACCCTACACGACGAGTACCAGAACGAATACTTTTCTAGAGTGACCGTGCTGCGACCAGGGAAACATGTCAATGACAGAGAATGGCTTGTCACAACTGTTGTCTTCGTATGGATCAGATGAATCGGATGACTCGAGCGACGGTACGGAGGAATCAATTGCCGTAAAAGAGACAACGAAATCTCAAAGCGTGAAGTTTAATCTAACCAAAACTGAAGATGGCGAGTGCGAGGACTGTAGCATTACTGAAAGAGGAAGGCAAGCTAACATTTAATTTCTTGAGTCTACTAAGCTTATTATCATCGCAAACTTTCGAATTTGACTGTAAATTTGGAAATATTTCCATATAAACCCAACATTAATTATGCATTCCACTTCATTAAGACCAAATATAAAGGTTTCTTTGCAACGCTCTATGCATAAAAATTATTACATGTAATGTATGGGGTTCTATGGAAATCTTGCCAAATTCCAATCGCCCAGGACAAAAAACTTGTGTTCATATGCCCCACCCAAATTTTTTTTATTGAGTGCAAAATCAGCAACCATGACTTTCGACACATGACTTACCTAGTAGACCTTGTAGACCATTTTTCTTCTGAGCCATTTGCTTGCAAAAATAAACTAT